GAATCCTGTGGCTTGCCATGACTCAGCCATGCTTTCTAGATCCAGGGGTTCCACACATGGGTGAATAGGGGATTGAGGTCAAAGTCATATGGCATTAAGCAAAGGAACTTTACTGAGAAGTCTCTCTGTTGACCTCTTAGGGGAGCCTAGTAGGGCTGTCAGTGGCCACTGTGGGTTAATGTGTGTGGACTTGGGGATCATGAGGCCTAACTCGTACCCTCATTAGTAATACAAGTAACATAAACCAGCACAGAAATCCAATTTATGACACAGAAAATGTGTCCTAAGAAAATATGTATGCTATAAACATAAATACAATACCATGTGTTTATGCAAATGAGTTATAAAAAATAATATATTGAGGAAAGTTTCAAGTAAAGCATTACCGAACAAAGCTGAACTGTGGTTTATTCAACAAAATGAATGCACATGGCATAGAATCATGTCAAGAGCCTTGGCCTGGAGCTTCAGGGGTTGAGGCTCATCATCTCTCATTGAATGGATTCTGCCAGTTCAGTGGATCTTCAGAAAAGCAGTTCATTTAGTGGGAGGAATAGCCTCCCAGGGGAAAGGAACAGAAATCCTTTAGCGTCTCTGGGCTTCTGTCTTAGTTTGAATTCCCTCAAAACCGATGCTGAGATGAAGATTGGGTATAGATCATTTGTTTGCAGGGAAGCCTCAAGAAGTGAAAGTAAGGAAACAAGGAAAGTGATAGAGGAGAGGAAAGGTAATAAATGCATGTTAATATGCTGGTTATGCTGAAGGTAATCAAGATTCAATGCTGTGGGGAGCCAGGTGAAACAACCTGTGGATCACCCCTCTGAATCAGCCCCCTGGAGGAAGGGAAGGCTGGGGCATTTGCGCACCAACTCCTATTCCCCACTCATTCAAGACTTCCCCCTGGGCATCAGCTTACCCACATTTCTGGATTGTGCTCATGATTCTAGAGAAATGAAAGGCAAACTCTTGAAGTGGAAAGCTGCCTGCATGCCAAAGCTTGTCCAAGACTTCTAGGAAATCAAGTGTGCTGAGGCAACATGGGACAGGGCATTAACAACATTATCATATCAAAATTGAGACTGGTCTAGATGACCTCCAAGGCTGCTCCCAGCTTTTATATCCAATAATTCTCTGCTGAATGGAGTTGCCTGCGCCATGGATTTTCTATCCTTGGTGATGGTGAGTGCCCTTCTCTAGAAGTAAGTAAGTAGATGCTTGATGACCACTTGGCAGGAATGTTGTAGCATCCTATATGTGATTGCAATAAGAAACTTTTAACATACTGTCTTAGATTGAGTTCCTAGAAAACAGACCTGTGATGAAGATTCAGGTTGGAGTGATTTAGTAATGAAATGCTCCTTGGGGGCAGGGGGAGTAAGGAAGTGGAAGAAGCAGGATAGAGAAGGGAATGAAGCCAAGAAAGAGTTCCATGTTAAGGAAAGTCCAGGCCTCAGCCTGATCCCACAGGAAAGCTCTGGTGTGTAAATCACCTCATATTCTGTGGTGACCCCAGACAAGGGAGAGGAATTTTCATTCTCCCTTACCCTTCAGTCATTGGCTAAAGGTTCCCTCAAAAGAACAGAAACTTAGGGAGTTGTGGCACAGTCACACTTATTGGCCCTGTTCTGATATAGATATACAAGACTTTGTGGATGACATCTTGGCCTTCAGGTTCCAAAAGTCTTGTCTTTGGTCCATTCTAATGCTGTTGACAGCTGAAATGCAGGAGACTTAATATTTCAGAGCTCTAACTCCCAGAATCCACAGTGCTGAAGAGGGTAACTCAGGGACTTTTTTTTTTAATATAGGATAGAAATTCAAGCTTGCAAGGTACAGAGTGACCCCCCAACCCTCATGCAAACTGTGTGGAATCTTTTCAAACTGAAGTAGATTTGGGACTAAAGACAGTAGAAATATTTCTGAGATGAAGGGATAAATCTGGCTATACAGAGGTGCAGCACAACGTTATCATAAAAAATCCACTTTTGTCTATGCCACAGCCCTGAACCTTCCGTGCACCAGATCAGAGACCCTGATAAATCTGGGCTGCTAGAAATGCCAACCAGCTCATATGTTTTCAGTGAGCAATGACAGGGAGCCAAATTGCTTTATTCCGATTAGGGAAGGGCCTCTGACTGTAAAATATACTGTGTGAAAAAAATATTGAGTTTTAGTTCGCTGACACATCAATTTAAGAGAGTTATGACTCTCACATGGATGCCAAGCAGGTATCTCCCAACATGTATGTGCAATAAAAATTAATTGTGGCCTTTTATACAGGGCACTGTTCTCACTTGTGAGATCAGAGGGTGACCTGAGTGTCACTTCCAGTGGCAAGCCACAACACTAGAGGTGTTGGTACTTTTCTGAAAAAACACAGAGGGAAACCAACACCAAAAGTCATGAATGAGCTCCATGTTTAACTTTTTGATTATACGAAGAGATATGCATTCATGTTATATTTGTATTTTTCAAAGAGTATGTACAAATATACATATGTTTTATGGGTACAATGTATGTATATCAATCAGGATCTAGACAGGAAAACAGAAACTTCTCCAAGCCTTTCAAGTTAATTCAGGGAATTAATCACACACAAATTGGAAGAGAGAAAAAGCCAAACAGAGACTCATGAGGCAATCCAGAGATCAGCAACATGGGAAACTGCTACCACCTCGAAGTGTCAAAGGACACAGGGAAGGGATGGCCTTATGGAGTTCAGGGCCTGGAGCCATCTAGGGTGAGCTTAAACCATGGTGATAACTCCCCAGAGAGCTGTGACCACAGAAGGAGGGGTTGTTGTGTGGGAGCTGGAATGTCTCTGCTGCCAGAGATGCCATAGGAAACTGAGAGTGAGGGAAATGAAGTGTTCTGACTTCTCTCTTCCTCCTGTTTTCCAATCTTCCACCAGTGTCTCTCATTGGTCAAATTGAACTGGAAGCTAAAGGGTAAGGGGGTCTGGGATATGTAGTTATTTGCCATTAAAAGTACAGCAGTGGTGGATCTAAGAGCAGAGGGACAGCTGACAGACATGGTATATAGGTAAATCTCTCTTTGTTGGTTTGTATCCTAATTTGACAAGTCTGTAAGACTCAGTGTGATGGTATTAATAGGCAATTCTTTTAAGAAGTAATTAGGTCATGAAGGTAGTGCCCTCATAAATAAGATTAGTGTCCTGTCTACAAGAAAGAGACCAAAAAGCTATCTCATTCTCTTTCCACTAAGTGAGAATACAAGAAGTCAGCTAGCTGTCTTCAGCCCAGAAGCAGGGCTTCCCCATAACAAGACCATGACAGCATCCAGATCTTGAAATTCCAAGCATCCAGAAATATGAGAAATAAATTTCTGTTGTTTATAAGCCACCTAGTCTATGCTATTTTGTTATAGAAGCCCTAACTAAGACATAATCTTGCTATTAGTAGTGGTATGGCATTATTCTAAGTTCTGTGTGCCCTTGTATTTTCTTCTTTGAACTAGCTTTCCCTTTGGGAGGAAGGAGAGAGTGTGATATGAAAGAGACAGGTACCAGCTTGCTTCAAGACAGTCCAGAAGGGATCTCAGAGTCTCCTTTTTCTAGTCTCCTGACCTCAATTCAATCACTGGTATCCCTTCATGCTCTGGTACTGGAACAAATAGAGGCTCTGCCAAAGGACATATTTCTGGGGATGCCAGGCTGATCAGAGGCTGAAGAAATTCTTTGGATCCTTAGTTCCAGTAAGGGCAAGTGGTCCACTTAGGAGTTCCTACACTGCCCTGTCAACCATACCCTAGCCCCTTCTCCCACACAATGGATAGTTCATTTGACAGCTGGCTTGTAACTGATGTGGACAGTAGCCTAGGTGATAATTTAAGGGTAACTAGCAGGGTTCCCTAATATTCTCTTTCTAAAAATATCTCCCTTGACCTATTGTGTTGAAGTCTGCTCTACTGATATAAAAACATCCTTGCAGAGGTGAGGGGTGAAATATTAATCTGGTGTAAGACACTAACACTGCAGAATAAAACAGTGGCTCTGACCAGACTTCTTCCTTCTGTGACAAGTAGCTGGGACCAAGAGGTTTAGAAGATTCAGGGGCAAGAAAGTCATTTTGGAGCAGATGTTAACTGGCCTGGAAGGCAGGAACAGGTGGGAGAAACATCAATAAGGACATGGGAAATGAGAAAGATTTCCATAGAAGGAGACAGGAATAAAAGAGAGGGTGGTGGGAGGGAATGAAGCCAAATAATGTCTTCTTTCCCCAGGAGTAGCCTTGATGCCCTCAACACATGATTAACTGCTTCTTTAATAAAAAGAACAAACACCTAGTGCTCTCTGTGTGTCAGGCATTGATCCAAGTGCACTTTGTCTTCGAAGCAATCTTTAAGGAAGTTAGTACTATTATTACCCCCTCAAAGGGTATTGCTGAACACCACTGCTTGCCCAAGATCATATAGCTGAGAGTGGCAGAGTTGGGATTTGAACCCATAATGTCTGGCTCTGGAAACTGCTTTCTTAACCACTAAATCATATTCCTCTTCAAGTTAATGCAATTGAGTATAACAAAAGTTTTCAGGGGAACTTTGTATGAAGCACTATGGAAGTTGGAAAGATGGATGAGAGATACCATTTTTACTCTTCCTCAAGGAATTTCTACTGTAATTAAGATCAGCCAGGCAGGGCTGTGATGGGCTTTGGGACAGCAATTCTGGGCAGTCAAGGCAGGCAGGTAGCATCCATGAAATTGATTCTCAGAAAGAGGGGCTGCAGGCATCTGGCTCTACATGGGGACTAGACTCCTGCCCTAGATAAGCAAAAACCAAGGAAGACCCAAGAGACCTTGTGTGGATGAAGGTGAGAACCTAAGGGTTGAATGAGTTACTGACATTGGAATCAGGAACAAAACTAAAGCTGTAGCACACTGCATCAGTTAGGAATGATTTTTAAGCTGCACCTAAGAGCAAACCTAATATTAACTTGATTTTTTTCCCCACTTACTCCTTGCCTCCCTGAATTCCTCCAGCTGGGCCTGCCAAACTTCCCTTCTACACATTCAGCACAGTCCTGGATTCTAGAACAACCTATTGAGGTAAGAAATTTTCAATCACTGTTGGCATCTGTCCCTTAATCTGATGTATCTTAACATGAAGCCAATTCTCCATACTCTTTAAGCTCACCAGGAAGTTAGGAATCTCCTGGCACTGACCTCTATGCTTTGGAGTAGAGTGTCTGGTGGTAGCTTATCTCCCATCCCGTGCAGTTCATCTTCAGGAGTTCCCAACCCCCAGCCCTGGTTAGTATGATTATATGAGTCAAACAGACACTCTTAGTCATCTGCCTAGTACCCATTCCCACTTCTTCCTTGCTAACAGAAATTCAATTTTGTTTGGGAGCATTATGTTACTCCCAGGCATTGGACAATGATTTGTCTAAGCCAATTATGACAACTTTCTTCATTTTCCCAGCCTCCTGGGATGCTAGGGATGTCATATGACTCAATTCATTCTGGCCAAGATGTAAGGGAAAGAATATGTATGTGTGTGTGTTGGGGAGAATATGCTCTGGGAAATTTTTTCTTTCTGATATAAGAAATAGCCAAGATTTTATGGCTCTCCTTGCACTTTCTCCTTTTCTGAATTTAGACTTGATGACTATGGTTTTACCTCCTATTTTATAGCTTCAAATTTGAGTATTTATACTTGAAGAAAACTGAGCCATCATCTTTCCTCCCAAACTGCTCCTTCCAAAATTTGATAGTCCTATGATTTTACCTACATATATCAGTAACCCAGGCAAAGCTGAGGGCCATTCCCCACTGCCCCACACCCTATCAATCACCAAGTCTTATTCATTTGACTTCTAGACTATCTCTTGAATCAGTTTCTTCTCTATCACTACTGTCGCTTCCTTAGTTCAGACATCCATTCTGCCTCATCTTGATTGCTTCAATGTCCTTGATTGCTGCAACTACTATCTGCCTCCCCTCTGAACTCTCAAATTAGTCCTCCAAAAGTGAGCTTGAGTTTCATTTCTAAGATACAGATCTGATCAGTTTATTTCTTTGCATAAAATTCTTCAGTTGCTCCCCAGACTTTAGCTTAGATCCCTAAAGATATAACTTTTAACATATCCCCCAAAGGAATTTCTTATCATTCAAGTGTCTCAAATGCAAAGTATCTTTGGAATCATCCCTGCTGTCTCTCATACTGTTCCTTTTACCTGGATTTTTCATTCCCTCTAATTCCTCTTTAATAAATCCAATTTAACTTTTTAACACTGGTCTGGTCAATTAGTCATTCCTTCCTTTCTCAAGAAGCCCTCCACGACTCTCCTTTTTTGTCTACTTTAGATGTCCTCTTTTCTGTTCTACATCCACAATAACACTTTACACATGGATCTGTAATTTCCACCTATTTCTTAAGAGCTAATTCTCATTTAGATTTACTCATATATTTACCAAGTTCATCACTCATCATTGCTTTTCACTTCATACAGCTTCCTTCCGGGTTTCATTTCTAAAGTCAATACTTCAGTAATTCTTCCAGTTTAGATCATAACTATATGTTCTTTCAGACTTTGTTTTAAAATGTCTATATTTATTTCACCCTCACTTTCTTTCCACTTTTTGTTATGAAAAATTTCAAATATATAGAAAACTAGGAAAAATAATACAGCAAACATGCATATTCTCCATGTGGATTTGACAATTGTTAACATATGCCACATTGCTTCATTTATTACAGGCATCCTCACATTTTTGCCAGAGCAGAATACTTTTATTTTGACCCTATCTCTTTCTCCATTCTGATTTTTTTCTTGAGACGCTGACCTCTCTGGACTACATCCTCACACTCCCTTGACCTCTTGCTCTTAGTTGGGTTTGGCTAATGAGAGGATCAGACAGAAAATCAGAAGGTGCGCCAAGAGTGAGCAGTGGTTGTGTGTTCCCACTATAGTCCACTGCTTCTGCCACTAGATTGTCTGTAACTACAGCCATGGCTGCTTTTTCTTAAGGTCCCAGTAACTGCTCCCTCCTGTCTCTTAAGACCTGTGATTGGGAACCCCTATTGCTCTGGGGTGCTTCAACATACTTTGTTGGTTTCTTTTCTCCTGACTATACTTTATAGATAGTCTTTTTGTTAAATCTTTCTCTATTATTCCACTTTATCCACGCTTCTAAGTACTTCAATATGCATCTCAAAACAACAACAACAACAACAAGAAAAACTTTTTCTTAAGATTCAGGAGAAATTCAAAACCCAATGCAAGGAATCTAAGAAATATAGTAAAATGATACAGGAGCTGAAAGATGAAATGGTCATTTTAAGAAAGAACCAAACTAATATGATACAGCTGAAAAACTCAGTTCAATAATTTTATAATATAATTGCAAGTATTAAAAGCAGAATAGGCCAAGCTGAGGAAAGAATCACAGGGCTTGAAGACCAGTTCTCTGAATTAACTCCATCAATCAATCAAGAAAAAGCAATAAAAAAGAATGTACAAAACCCCCTGCAGAATATGGGATTATGTGAAGACACCAAATCTACAACTCATTGGCATCCTTGAAAGAGAGAGAAAGAAAGCAAGCAACTTGGAAAACATCTCTGAGGTTATTGTCTATGAAAACTTCTCCAACCTTGCTAGAGAGGCCAACATTCAAATTTAAGAAATGCAGAGAGGCCGGGCGCGGTGGCTCAAGCTTGTAATCCCAGCACTTTGGGAGGCCGAGGCGGGTGGATCATGAGGTCGAGAGATCGAGACCATCCTGGTCAACATGGTGAAACCCCGTCTCTACTAAAAATACAAAAAATTAGCTGGGCATGGTGGCACGTGCCTGTAATCCCAGCTACTCAGGAGGCTGAGGCAGGAGAATTGCCTGAACCCAGGAGGCGGAGATTGCAGTGAGCCGAGATCACGCCATTGCACTCCAGCCTGGGTAAGAAGAGCGAAACTCCGTCTCAAAAAAAAAAAAAAGAAATGCAGAGAACTCCTGTGAGATATACAAAATGACCATCTCCAAGACAAATAGTCATCAGATTTGCAAAAGAAAAAGTGCTAAAGGCAGCTGGAGAGAAAGGGCAGGTCATCTACAAAAGGAACTGCCTCAGACTAACAGCAGATCTTTCAATAGAAACCTTATAAGCCAGAAGAGATTGGTGTCCTATATTCAGCATTCATAAAGAAAAGAAATTACAACCAAAAATTTTATATCCAGCCAAACTAAGCTTTGTAACAGAAGAAGAAATAAGATATTTTTCAGAAGAGAAAATTTGAAGGGAATTTGTTACCACCAGACCTGCCTTACAAGAAGTCCTTAAGAAAGTGCTAAATATGGAAATGAAAGATCGTTACTGCCCACCACAAAAACACACTAAAGTATGTAAACCATTGACACGATAAAAGAACCACACGATTACGTCTGTATAATAACCAGATAACAGCATGATGACGGGATCAAATCCACACATATCAATACAAACTTTCAATGTAAACAGGCAAAATGCCTCCAATTAAAAGGCACAGAATGGCAAATTGGATTAAGAAGGAAGATCCAACTGTATCCTCTCTTCAAGAGAACCATCTCATATGCAACATCACCCATAATCTCAAAGTAAAGGGATTAAGAAAAATCTACCAAGCCAACAGATAACAGAAACAAATCATGGGTTGCTTGTTGGGTACCAGCCCCAACCCTGTTTGTGGGTGCCCCAAGCCCCAGCAGTGACGAGGGATTGAGAAAGGAAATAAAGACAAAGACACAGAAACAGAGTTTAAGTGTGGGTCCAGGTGACCAATGTAAAGTATGAAGACCACATTGGCCCTTAGTTCTGGTTTCCACAGATTTTTATTAGGTGCACACACTTGTTAATTGAGGGGTGGAAAGCAGGGGGAGTGGTTTATCAGGGGAGGCCTTGAAACCATTGTGGGGTAAGATAGCCAGGGGGAGAATCATGCATCATTAGACTACAATGAAACAGGTGGGTCTTCTAAAAGAAGCTAATCTAGTACACCAAGTTTTACTACCGATCTTATTGATATGCAGCTGCACCAGAACACAGCAGGTAGGGTGCCACCTGATCTGACCACACACAATGCATTAAGGGGCTTTTATCTCCCAGGCACTGTGGACATAGGGCAACCAAGATTACCCCATATTCTGAAAACATAGGCAGAGAAGGAGGTGTTCCACTATCTCTTCCCATAAGGCCTTCCTGCCTTGCCAGTTCCCATCTGCATAGACCCTCCTGGATCTTGTGAGCAGAGGTCACTGACCTTTCCCAGGTGCTTACACAGGCCCTCTTTATGAGACCCCTGTGCAGAACCCATGTTGGAAAGGAGTTCATGGGACCAATGCAGTGTTTTCCTGACTTGCAACCACACTGTGGATGTGCCACGGTTAATGGGGCACTCTCAGACACTCTAAATTTAGGCCTCCCATTACTACTTTTGCTTGTGCTTTTACAAGCTACAAGCTGTTCTCTTTTGTGCTGTGCTTTTCATTCACTATTGTTTATTTCAGGATATAAACTTCAGTGTACTGTGAACTCTATATTCTAGTAAGTAAATTAAACTTATATTTGTTTAATCAGTAATAGTAGAGACAGCATATGTCTGCCCTGGTCATCTGTTCCCACAGATGCTATTCTAATTTCAGACAAAACAGACTTTAAACCACCAATGATCAAAAAAGACAAAGTAGGGCATTACATAACGGTAAAGGGTTCAATTCAACAAGAAGACCTAACTATCCTAAATATATATGTACTCACCACAGGAGCACCCAGATTCATAAAACAAATTCTTAGAGACCTACAAAAAGATGTAGATAAGCACATAATAATGGTGGTAGATTTCAACACCTCACTGGCAGTGTTAGACAAATCATTGAGGCAGAATACTAACAATGATATTCAGGACCTGAACTTGACACTTGACCAAATGGACTCTTCATCCAAAAATCACAGAATATTCATTCCTCTCATCTGCATATGCTATATACTCTAAAGTTGATCACATGCTCAGCCATAAAACAATTCCTGGCAAATTAAAAATAATCCTACCAACCACCCTTTTTGACCACAGCAC